TTAGATTGGCAAAAAAAAAAAGTTTGACAGTATACTCTTTTGAAAAGGTTCTGGAGAAATAAGCAGACTCAATAGTACATGCTTCTCTTTCTCTGGATAGACCCTTAGAAACAAGTCATTGTTTCTACGGGGTGAAACTGGGTGGCTGGTATGTGAAAGAGACTTTGTAACTTAAAATTTTCTACCACATGTATATATTACCTACTAAAATAGAATATTATGCATAAACATAGATATAGATATAGATGTATTACCTACTAATGTATATGTATTACCTACTAAAATAGAATATTATGCATAAATATAGATATAGATATAGATGTAGATGAGATATGTATACAATATTGCTGACTTGATTCTTGAATTTATTTTTCCATTGGTGTTTGCCAATATAGGCTTTAGCCCAAGAACAAACATTTATGGAATCAATTATACTTTAATTAAAAAGGACTGTTTTCTCTCCTTTCTCTTCTACCCTCCAAATCCTTCAAAACCTCAAGCCTAGGAGAACTAACACGTAGTAGGAACTCAGTAAATGTTGTCGAGTGAATGAATGCACCTGACTCGGCCTGAAGTGGGGGCCAGGAAAAACTGCTTTCTTCCCACCTTTTTCAAGGTTAGGACCTGAACACCCATGCTTCCTGGCTTCAAAAAGAGAGAAATTGGGTAGAATCAAATGACAGGCCACCTCGGCCAGAGGATGACAGGAGGAAATGGTTAGGTCTAGCTGTACAACTTTAGACATGTTACTTAAACTCTTTCGAATCTCGGTTTCCTGGTCAGTTAAGTGGAGATACTAATTACCTTCTAGGAGATCAGTAAATGTTAATTGAATTGAATAGAGTTCTTGTTAGCAAAGGGAAAAAAATCTTCATCATAATTGAGATAAATAAAAGTGGGAGGTAGGAAATGAGGTTAATGTGGTGGCCTTGCGGGGGGTAATGATTGGGGGTGGTAGGGAATGGAGCTTATTTCCTACTTGACTTAAAGATTTGGCCCAAGGAGCTTTTAATACTGTTATGCAAAGTTAAATCAGGGCATGAGTAATGTAAGTAAGGCTCTATGAGTGTTCATGACTTGGTGAGCTTTTAAATACATTGTTTTTGTATTGCAATATCTCTCTTTCCTTCCTTCCTTCCTTCCTTCCTTCCTTCCTTCCTTCCTTCCTTCCTTCCTTCCTTCCCTCCTTCCTTCCTTCCTTCCTTTCTTTCCTTCCTTCCTTCCTTCCTTCCTTTTTCTTTCTTTCTTTCTTTCTTTCTTTCTTTCTTTCTTTCTTTCTTTCTTTCTTTCTTTCTTTCTTTCTTTCTCTCTCTTTCTCTCTTTCTTTCTCTCTCTCTTTCTCTCTCTCTCTCTTTCTTTCTTTCTTTTCTTTCTTTCCTTCTTTCTTTTCTTTTCTTTTTTCTTTTCCCTTCTTTTCTTTTCTTTCTTTTTTTTGAGATATGGATGCCCTGTTGCCCAGGTTGGGGCGCAACGGTGGAATCATGGCTCATTGCAGCTTGCAGCTCCTGGGCTCAAGTGATCCTCTCACCTCAGCCTCCCAAGTAGCTGGGACTACAGATGTGCACCACCATGCCCGACTAATTATTTTTACTATTGGTAGAGACAAGGTCTTGCCATGCTTCCCAGGCTGGTTTTGAACTCCTAGCCTCAAGTGATCCTCCTACCTTGGCCTCCCAAAGTGCTGGGATTACAGGCATAAGTCTCCACTCCAGGCCTGTATTTCTAATAGTATGAGTGTGTGGATGCTTATGTGCATGCATGCATACACATGTACCTTTAGTAAAACTCTTCTAAACTGGGACTCCAGTTCTATCCCAGTTTTCCCAGGAAAATCTGGAAAACCTTAGCTAAATTTTTTTTGGGAGTGCTCGGCTTTCTTATCTGTGGTTGGAGATGATTCCCTTCTAATCTCACTCATAGGATTGTTTTTTGGTTTTGTTTTTTGTTTTTTAAAAATCAAATGAGGTGAATGAGAAACCGGTCTTCATTGATAATTATGAAGGTTTTATGCCTTTTGCTGAATTCAGGCTCTGGCTCTTATTAAAAACGCCAACTCCCTTGGTCCTTCTGCTTGGCCATTCATACTCACTCTGCTTAATCATTTGTACCTCAAGGTAAATTAACAGATTAGGCCAAGGAGAGTGTGGAAGAGAGTAATTCATAGTATGAGAAATAATAACTACAACAATAATAATAGCGACATTTATTGAGTGCTAACTCTGCGCTGGACTCAGTGGAGACCTCTCCAGAGATGAGGGATGTATAAGAGAAGAAAAGATAAATTGCAGTTACTCTGGCACAAGCTTGCTAATGGAGTGCTGTGATCTTTTTGCTCATGAGGGTTGTGTGTGTGCGTGCGAGTGTGCACTCATGAGGACATATTCTTGTTAGCGTATTGGTTTTCATCATCTCTTCCCCCTTAGGGGTGAGGAGACATAGGAAATGGGGGAAGGCCTCCAAGCAGGCTCCACTAATCACATGTGGCACAATGCAGGGATTTCCAAACTGTGAGAGATTGGAATCACAGCCTTGGCTTTGCCAGTGACCCTGCTGTGTGACTTTGGCCAATTCTCACCTCCTCTCTTAGTTTCATTGTCTGCTGTGCTGAAATGAAAGGGTTTTCTGAGTCACCCTGGTAATAGACACCTACGGTTTTGCCCCCACCCAGGCCTCTATTCAGTTTCTCTGACTCTGAACTCTGGGTAGAATGGGCCAGAAGGAACCTATCCTTAGTTCTAGGCAGACAGGGAATCTTGACCACTGTGATTGGCTCTAGGATGGGCAAGGGACCCCTTCAGAGCCCTAGAGATAACCCATGGCTTTTGTTCTAGGGACAGAAGAGATGCTGTTTGCCTGGGGACCAATCCCAGAAATATGTGGAGCTGGAGCTTCTGGCAGCCTTTTTGCTACCGCGAGGTAAGTATCTGTGTGAATATGGAACCAACAGAGCCAAACATGGAGCAGAGAGATAGAAACTGAGTCCAGGGGCCATTGTTCGAGCACCTGGATCCAGGTGATTCTGAACAGACACCTCTGACTTTTCTCTCCTATAACCTAATAAACTTGATTGCTATTGTTATTCTTTGTTTAAACCTATTTGGCTTGGGATTCTGTCACTTGGAGCTGTGTGGTGACCTTATGCAGTGATTGTGGGGTTTACACAGTGGTTGTCATGGCCTTTTCAGTTCAGGAATCCCAAAGCGTTATGGCTCCTATGATTCTTCCAGGAGTGAGTGGGGCTGGCTGCAGGAAACTGGGTCACAAGGCCTCAACCACAGTTGCCTTGACTCTGCTAGTGTGGTGGGGGCTTGGCCTGGTCCCCACAAGGAGAGAAAGCGTTGAGTCCCATGTCTCACCACTCTTTGTGAGTATAATTATTTTGATGCCAAAGTATTAATGGACTTGGCTGTGACATGTTTTCCCAGACCCCCCTTGGAGATGTCGCATTCTAAATGGTGGTCTCATTGTATAGTATTTTTAAATCTGAAAATTTAAATACTGAAATTTAAACGACTGGCCCCCAGTGGTTTCAAGTAATGGCTTGCAGACTTGTAGTGATCTCTACTCAAAGCTTAGAAGCTTTCACATAAAATTCCACATCCCTGGTTTCCCTCAAGAGGGAGAAGGCCTGGCATTGCTACATAGCACCACTGGGATACACACCCGGGGTGATAAGTGCCTGACACTGAGCTGCCCCCACTCCCTTGCATGGAGCCTGCCTTCTGCATCCTGGCCCAGGTGTCCACTGCTGTGCATGTACCGCCCCCATATCGGTCAAGAATACGGAAGACTTAGACAATCCTCCTTCAACACCAGTGCAGGAGACTGTGGCAGCCCAGGGAGTTTCCAAAAGTGCAGTCACCCCTGGTTACCTCTCTCCTGCACATTGCTTGTGATCCCTAGCTGTGAATACTAACAGGAGCTTTTATGCTTCTATGCTGTATACCAAACGCAGTGTGCACCAGCTTGTATCATTCTCATGACAGTCCTGGGTGAGGGTCATTCCATCCCTTTCCACATAAAAAGTCCAAGAGTCAAACACACCACGTATCTTTTTTTTTTTCTTTTCTTTTTTTGAAATAGGCTCTTGCTTTGTCACGCAGACTAGACCGCAGTGGCATGATCACAGCTCACTGCAACCTCGACCTCCTGGGCTCAAGCGATTCTCCCAGCTCAGCCTCCCAGGTAGCTAGGACTACAGCTATGTGCCACTATGCTTGCCTTCTATTTGTTTGTGGAGACAGTCTCACTATGTTGCCCAGGCTGGTCTCAAACTCCATGCAGTCCTCCCACCTTGGCATCTCAAAGTGCTGGGATTACAGTCACGAGCCACCACACGCGGTGCCCACACCATGCATCTTGAGCCACCACGCCTGGCACCCGTAGCATGCATCTTACCCAAGGCCACATCCACAGGGAGAGCTGGGGCCAGAGAAGACGCCCTGCCCATGAGCTTCCTGTGACCATCGTATCTGCGGCAATCAGCAGAGGTGACTATACCATGGCACCTGACACCCAGTCCAATTTTGAGGAGAAGGAGGTGGAGAGGAGTAGGTAGACATAGTAAAATACATGTCATGGAAGCCAAATTTAGAGGACATGGAGAATGTCAAAGTGAGAAGCTGGCAGGCCATTTGGTCCAATGCTCTTGTTTTCTCCATGGGGGAAAGTGGGAAGGTGACAGTTTCAAGGACACACAGTGGCACTGGAAAGAGAGAAGGGTCATTACAGTGGTTGTAATAGTCATTACAGTAGACCAGATTCTGAGGCCTAACATGGGAACCCTGGGCTTCCCCATTTAGAACCGCTTTCCCCTGAAAACTTCATTCACTTGCCTACTCAGGGCAAGGGAAACTCCTGGCCGTGTGCCTGGGGGCCTTTGTTCTCTCTTCCTGCTCCTCCAGAATAACTTCCCCTTGGGTAATTTTTCCATTACGCTGTTCCTCTTTGGACTTTCAGAAATAAAAACCCAGCCCCCCTGGTGTGCAGTCACACTTGCGCCCTGAGGAGTGTTAAAATTCAGCTTGAGAGGCACTTAGTGTCACAGAAGCCTAGATAAAGAAACAAGATTTCAGGCAGGAAGAAATAATAAAGAGGCAGGACTTCAAGTGTCCTGTGAAACGCAGCATTCGGCCTCCGGCACACACATCCGCGGGAGGCGGCTCAACTTCTTTATAAAGTGGTGAGTTTTGTGTGAGCACAGATGCATTTTGTTTTCCTATGAGGAATCAATGATTAAATTATCAGAAAGCAAAGCTAAAAACCAGGCTGCCTGAATATACCCCCACGTGTCCCCTGTGTCTCCCCAGCACCTCCTGCTCAGGAGATACAGGCTTTCTCTCCAAAGCTTTAGTTTAAATGTCCAACACATCTTATTAATGAAAGTAATAAGCTGTTGTTTATTATATGTCATGATGGGGAATATGACTATTTAATATAAACCTGACATTTAAATTCCACTTAGTTCTGAGACGTGGACGATATCAAGGCATAACTCTTTACCCTGGAGTAAAAACTCCCTGGGTCTGCATTTTAAAGCATTGAAGTTTTCAAAGTAATCAGGTTCTTTTTTTTTTTTTTTTTTTTCCAGAGGAACCAAATTGTGAAGACATCTGTTCTGTTATTAATTTCACATACATCTTAAGCTCCTCAAGGCCAGAAATGAGGCTTCATTCACGTCGAATTAATGAAACATGATTGTAAGTCCCTTGCTTGGAAATGCTGTCACACAGTTCTGAGCTGCTTATAAGCACTGAGTAATCTCTGAAACTGCCAGGGGACGGCCACTTGAAATCTGCCCTCCCCTCCCACCGCCGCCCAAAAACAATATCTGAATATATCACAACACTAACTGTATCCTGAAAGATTAATAGCAGATAAAAATTTCTGGGAAATGAATCAGACTTTCTCAGTAAAGGATACAGAGATCTCAGGCAAAAGCAGATTGCAGAGTGGAAGAGCTCTTTGGGATACAGTTTGATAACTGTGGCCCTGGCTGCCCCTGAATACACCCAAAAGGATGATGGCGGGCCGGGAAGAGGGTGGGAAGTCTTGGAATTTCTTGCAGAGATCTCTTTTGAGAGTGTGTATGAAAATGTACTGGAGGTGACACAGATGTGGTACTGGAACCTTGATCTGTGAAAGCATGATGTATGTGTCAGGTGTGTGGGAGAATGTGTGTGCATGTGGAATCTGTGTGTGAATGCATGCAGGAATGTGTATGAGTCTACTAACATGTGGGTGAGTATGTGTATATCAGTGTATGAGTTCGTGCACGTATGAGTGTGAAAATGTGTGTGTTGTGAGTTTGTGTTGGTGACTGTGTATGAGGGTATGTGTGTATGAATATGTGTGAGTTTGCGTGTGTGAAAATGTGTGTACTGCGAGTTTTTATTGGTGAGTGTGTATGAGGGTATGTGTGTATGAATATGGGTGAGTTTGCATGTGTGGAAATGTGTGTTGTGAGTTTTTATTGCTGACTGTGTATGAGGATATGTGTGTATGAATATGAGTGAGTTTGCATGTGTGAAAATGTGTATATTGCAAGTTTTTATTGGTGAGTGTGTATGAGGGTATGTGTGTATGAATAAGGGTGAGTTTGCATGTGTGAAAATGTGTGTTGTGAGTTTGTGTTGATGAGTGTATATGAAGTTATGTGTCTATGAACATGGACGAATTAGCATGTGTGAAAATATGTGTGTTTCGAGTTTTCGTTGGTGAGTGAGCATGAGGGTATGTGTGTATGAATATGGGTGAGTTTGTGTGTGAAAATAATTTTGTGTGTCTGTGGATGCATATGAAGGTGTGTGTGTGTGTATGTATGTGTGTGTGTGGTGAGTGGATGCATTGACATGCACAGACCTCTCAGGACAGACATGAATCTGTCAGTTGGGGATGGATCTTAAATAGCAGTTCAGCACAATACCATGCCCATCTGAGCCAGTCTTGAAAGGAGCTTGCTCTTGAGGTTTTGGGTTTGGGGGGCCTGATTTTTTTTTTTTGTCAAATAACTGAAAACGCCAGCAGAACGATTGTCTGGAGGGAGGAGTGGGATGGGGAGACTGAGATTTCTTAATCAAACTTTCAAGTGTTATTTTTGGTCTTCTGTTGAGCTGGGATCCGAAAAAGAATCTGCATATGATATTTACATCTCAAATCTTCAGAGCCTCATTAGCTTTGATAGTTATTTATTTATTTATTTATTTGCAAAAAAGAATTTAAATCAAACAGAGAGGCACAAAAGCAAAACCTTTGAATGTAGTGCAAAATTAATTAAAACAGGCAGCCGAAGGGTAGAGTGAAATACAATGGAATTCAGAAAAAAAAAAAAAAAGACAATGAAACTAATTAGACTCTGATGGGAAGATCCTTCCTCATTTGGTGATCATCCATTGATAATTAATAAGTCACAAATATTGATGTTTGAAGAAAAGTGCCAGAAGTTTAACCCCTGTTTTTCCAGAAGTTTTTAAAAATTTTTTTAAGATTCTGATCTTCTAAACTAACTCAGTCAAATTATTGGATGTTGTGTTTTACAGTCATGTGTTGCTGATGGATGGGGATGTGTTCTGAGAAATGCATCATGAGGCTGTTTCATCATTGTGCCAACCTCACAGAGTGTACTTACACACACCTTGATGGTATGAGCTATATGGAATAGCCTTTTGCTCCTAGACCACAAACCTGTATAGCAGGTACCACACTGAATACTGTAGGCAATTGTAACACCGTGGTAAGCATTTGCATATGTAAATATAGAAAAGGTACAGTAAAATTATGGTACAAAATGTAGAAAATGGTACACTTGTATAGGGCACTTACCGTGAATGGAGCTTGCAGGACTGGAATTTGTTCTGGGTGAGTCAGTGGGTGAGTGGTGAGTGAATGTGAAGGCCTAGGACATTACTGTATACTACTAGAGACTTAATAAACACTGTACACTTAGGCCATGCTCAATTTATAAAAAATAAAGTAATTGCACCACAATGTTACAATGGCTACTGTGTCACTAGGTGACATGAATTTTTCAGCTCCATTATAATCTTATGGGATCACCGTCATCTATACAGCCTGTTGTTGACCGAAACGTCGTTACACAACGCATGACAGTATTGTGTTCTAGGGGAAACAGACTAGCTTATACCAGCAGCTGATTAGCTCTCAACACCTGTCCTCAAAATAATGTACAGGTGGATCAAATTCAACTGTCAGCGGATAAAGATATATCTTAATACAGGGGATGTTGGACTCCAGCAGTTAGCATTAACCCAGTGGTGGAACCAATTTGTATATATGAATAGATACAATCCCAGCTACATTTTTGCCCCTGTGTATTTTGAGGCTTTGTTGTATGATCCATGCTTTGTAGATCTGTGAAAAACACTTCCAGGCATCCAGTTGAAAAACCCTTGACCAACAGTATAAAAACGACTTTTAGCTTTACCTAAGCACAAGGCAGCATCAAAGGGGTCTGGCTTCCTTGCTGGAAGTTCTTCTGAAAGAAATGATCAGTTAGTATTTATGCTTTTTGTCCTTCTGTATTATGCAACAGCACAAATGCACAACTGCCCCAGTGGGACAATCTAACGCATAGCCTGCCTGTCACACAGTTTTAAAGTTGGACGCATGTGTCTTTGGCATGTCCCAGGTCTCCTTTCAACTTCTTTCAGAATCTCTTTTTTACCACCCTCCAGTCCAGCGCTTGAGGTTCTCAGGATGACCCTGGGTCATTTCTAGCTTAAAGAGAGTGGGCTTTGAGAAATACCTTGAAAATTGTGAGTTCAATTTTTAAAGATGGCTACAATGCTAATGGTGAAATTTCAGGCTTTGTGGCAGTTGGATGAAAGGAATGTTTTTGAGCAAAAGATCTTTCCAACAATCCCTCAAACCTACAATGCATAAAAGTGGACTTGTTTAGGTAAGTCGGTAAATTATGCCTGATCTCAGTTTTCCTCCATGTAAAGAGGAAGAAACTGAACTAGAAGTAGAATGATCTTTAAGATTTATTAAAGAGAGAAAGAGAGAGAGAGAGAGAGAGAGAGAGAGAGAGAGAGAGAGAGAGAGAATGGTTTGTCATGTGCAAAAAAAGGCAAGGTTCTTCCTTACAAGTAGCACAGGGATTCATTCATTCATTCATTCATTCATTCATTCATTCTGTGTGTGTGTGTGAGAGTCGTCTCTGGGCCAAACTCCGTATCACAGTTCTTTCACATCATTTCACCTACCCCTTACAACAACCTGTGAGGTAGGTATTCCTAACAGGAGTGGTTGTCAATTTATTTAACTATCAATAAGCCACAGATACCTGCCAGTCAGAACACTGAGTTAAACACTAGAACAGGGTCCTGGAGACCCCTGGCTGTGCCAGGTATTTGTTGCTAGATGAGGAAAGAGGTGGGGAGGAACCAGGGTGCCTGGCACAATGAAGTGGAGATTGGGAAACTATTTGCCAACTGGCCAGGGAAATGCTCTAATTTTTAAACTGCTGGTATGGATTTTGTACTATTGGATATGGCTGAACATCAGCCCTGATTTTCAATCTCCCCATTCTGCAAAGGACAAAGCTGAGGCCCTGGGAGGTCAATAAACCTTCTCAAGATAAACCCATCAAAAAGCGACAGGCTTGAGTTGAAAGCTACTTTAAGTCTTTGAGACTCCAAAGTTGGTGTTCTTAACCATTATGCTGACTGTGCGCATGCCTCTAAGTTGACCTCAGTCCGTGCCAGGCTGGCCTGGCATTTCTCTACAAAGAACTGGAGGAAAGTGGCTCTGGAGGAAAGATCTGGTTTGAGTGGGAGTAGAGTTGGCCGATTTAGTAAGTAAAAATACAGGACACACAGTTAAATTTGAATTTCAGATAAACAACAAATAGTGCTTTTGTATATTTTTAGCTTATTGCACGAGATATACTTACACTAAAAATTATTCATTGTTAATCTGATGTTCAAATTTAACTGGACATCTTGTATTTTATCTGGCAACGCTAAGTGTGGAGGGAGGGCCACAGGGATGCTAAGACATTTCAAATACCAGACACTTCAATCTGAAGAAACATTTTCTTTACTAGGAACTCCCTTTTTCAAAGTCAATGATATCAGCTGTAGTAAGAACACTTCTAACCTTACCCTGAGTACCTCCTTGATTTTAAAGTCATAGAATGTCAAGGCAGAGGTCATTTAAGCCAACCCCCTGCCTCACTGTCTTTCTGCCTCTTTCTGTCCTCTCTCTGCCCAAGAAGGCAGAACCCACAGCAACGGCGCTGTGGCTTGGCTTTGAAGCCAAGGAGCATAGCCTATGAGGCGTGTCCTCATCTCCAAAGCACATGGAAACTATTCGTTTCCTGAAGGTCTTCATGGTTAGCCTACTGCAAGTCTCGTGGTTTTTCAGCTGCAGTTGTAATTTCTGTAGCGCCTCTATCCCAGCTCAGCTGGTATTTATTAGACACATTGCTTTTGAAAAGAAAACTGTGTCTTAATTAAAGGTTGGCAATCCACAGCCTGTTTGCAGATGAGAAAAATTAAACAACTACTATGAACAGGGCAGTGTGTCTCCTCTGTTGGTTAGAACATTGCTGTCTAGACATGTGGAGTGTCTCCTGTGTTTCGGGCTGTCCCTGCATCTACATCTGAGTGCTTTTTTTTTTTTTTTTGGTGTTGCACAGCAAATACAAATGAACTATGAGACCAAATGGAAGAGCTTTTGGAGTGAAACGGGCTTGTGTCCTGTTTTAACCACTCCCTGTCACAGACTGCTTTTCAAACACAATACCTGGGCGGGGTGGGTGGGGGTTAATGAAAAATGTTTGGTGTCCAAAACCCAGCCTCACTGTCTATGCCAATGGGTTGGTTTCTGGGGCCAGGTGGAAGCTGAGAGGATCTCATCTGTCTCACCTCTGGACCAAGAATGAAATAAACTGATGAAGAATAAAAATATTCCTTTCATAGGGTGAAGATTCTTAACTTGGGTTCCTTGGAACAGAAGCCCTCTAAGACTTCCATGGAATTCTTAGCTTGGATGGGGAAAAAAATGTATTTTTTATTTTTGCTAACTTCGAACTGAAAGTTAGCATTTCCTTCAATTCTGAATGTAGGCAGCAAACCAAAATTGTATCAGCACTACATGGGACTTTTGTGACTTTGTCATTGATAGATATCACAGATATTTTCATATCACATTATATTGCTACAGGATATCTCGAAATAGACTCATTACTATCTGGAAATTATAGTGATGAGTAGACCCACCTCTCTATCTTATTATATTTTGGTTAATAAAAGTCCATATATTACTGTATCAATTTAAAGAATTAGATAACTGTTATTTAATGTAACTTTTCTTTGTAATGCTGTTTTGTAAATTTTATGCCTGTAATAACATTATTCTGGAATAAGCCTTGAAAACTTTATGCTAAGTGAAGTAAGCCTGACTCAGGATAAATAGGATAAATAAAAAAGGACAAATACTATATGATTACACTCACGTGGGGTATGTAGAGCAGTCAAATTCATACACAGGAAGTAGAGTGATAGTTGCCCCAAGATGGGAAAGGAAGAAATAGTGAGTGGTATTGTTAATGGGTATAGACTTCCAGGTTGGGAAGATACAGTTGTGTAGATGGATATGGTGGTGGCTATACAATAATGTGAATACTTAATGTCACTGACCTGTACACTTAAAAATAGTTAACACATTTTTTGTCATGTATATTTTATCATAATTTAAAAATCCATAAGAACAATGCAAATATTTTCATCTCACATTTTAAAACCCACATTATTCCATAAGGAGGTCCATAGACCTCCCCTGGAGGGTCTATAGCACAAACCTGGCTAAGGCCTCCTGGTTTTAAGGGATTGCTTTTCCTAATGCCTGGTACATCTTTCCAGGTATGTTTTGTCTGGGGAAATCTTTCTGTCTCTTCAGGGGTCAGTTCAAATGCCACTATTCCTTGGCTCCTGTTCTGTTCCCAGGGCTAATGTGGGGACATAGTCTTCATATTCCTCTAAGCCTATCTCTAATATCCCAGTTGGATCTTACTGCCTGCCAAGAGCCTAAGGCCTTGAGGTCTTTCCCTCTATTTAATTAAAGGGTTATTTGGCAGGTATAAGAAAAGAGTTTAGGCAACATTAGTACCAGACTGAGACTTTCTCATTGATGCAATAGGGAAATTTGCTGTATGAGTCAGTATTACTCAATGCCTTGTCTGGATATTGATGCAAATCTCGTGGTCACTTTTTCACATTTTGTGCTACGTTACATAATCTTATGAAATCTACAGAACCCGGAGGTTAGTGCTATCAGGGACAGTATTTTGCAGATGAAGAACTGAGACTCAGAAAGCATAAGTCGACTTGTCTGACCCCAGAGGTATTTTGCATCAAACATCTTCCAGAGTGGTAGGATTTCTTGGGAGTAGCACAAGCTGCATTTGATGAAGATCACTCATTGGAGAATCTGATCCTTATTGGAGAATCTGTCTTTGAACCTGACAAAGGAACACGAGGTACTAAATAAGTAAAGACTTTGGATCCTCGGAGTTGGAAGGGCCCAAACTACCTAGTTTGTCCCACCTGTTTTAGATGCGGAAACTCTTGAGTTGACACCAGCATAGTAATAACCACCACTGTGCTGACCTCTTGATGTGGATTATCTCAATGACTCTGAAAGTTTCATCGCTGTGGGCTCCTTTTATAATTTTGGTCATAATTGAATGTTATTGATACTATGATCTACTTAATGCTGTTTTCCCCTTTAAATGGATCTGCTTTTAAAACTTAAATCCATTTACTCACACAGAAAATTTTATACTACTTCTGTGAATAGAAAACCACTAACCATAAATATTATTCCAATAAAAAAGAAAATATGTATTAAGTTCTACCTAGGTACTGTTGCCTGCAGGGGGACTCTGAGCCTGAAGTCTTCACTCCCTTTGTTAAAACATAGAGAACAAAACACCAAAAATAATTAGTACTTGTTAGGTGTTAAAGACACAATAGCATCAACTGGAGACTTTCTTGATGTAATTAGAAGAATTCAAAGAGAGCTAAGAAGGACCTAATACACTTACTGTTTGAGTCAGTGCTATTTAATGCCTTGTCTGTGCATTATTTCAAATCATTTTCAGTACCACTCGTGGTCTCTGCACCTCTGGAAACACCCCATTATCTCAGCTCATCCTCACAATAATCCTATGAGGTAAGTACTAGTACTAGGACTAGTTAGTACTGCCCTATTTGTTGGATGCACAGCCAGTCAGGCACGCCTGCTCTCTCTGTCTCCGGAGTGCCTGACCACAGTGATATTCTGTTTCGTGGCCGAAGCTACCCATAAAAAGAGCCTTTAGCAGCATCTTATGGGTTCTCATAAATCTCGCAGGTCCAGATGTCCATCCAGGAACAAACTCCACTGCATGGAGCCCCATGGTGAGACAGACTGCAGGCTTGCAGCCCCACACCCATACACCGGCAATGTGCCCCCAGGAACACGGGACCAACTCCAACTTTGGGAATGAAGATAATGTTCAGGCAGGAAAGGAGGAGTGGATAGGAGAGGAAGGAAGTGAAAGCAAGTGATGGAGAGGACAAAGGGAGCCTCAGGTTCCTCATTTAGAAAATGGGCAACAAGACCTGCTTCACAGGATGGTTGATTGTTGGGAGGATTTGAACACATAGCAGGTGCTTCACCCTCCCTCTCCCCTCCGTCCTCTCTCCTCCGACTCATCTCTGTCCCCCTCCCCCACTCCCTTCCCTTCCACTCCCCTCCTCTTCTCTCCTCTCCTCACCTCCCTTCTCTTCTCCTCCCCTCCCTTCCTTTCTTCTCCTCTCTCATCCCCTCTTCTCCCCTTCCTCACCCCTGTCAAGCAAACACACAGACACACATATGTATTCATGTAGTTTCAAAAGTGAAAATAGGGAATTTGTAGCCAAGGTCTGCTCTGACATGACAATAAATAGGATGAAGGAGGCAAGAGAGCCCGGAGAGACAGAGTCCCCTTGAGCTTCAGGGAAAGCTTCCCAGGAGCTGGAGAAAGGGGTCCCTCAAGAGCTGTCATCTGACATTGACCGGGAGGTCCCTCACGGTCAAACAGGCCTAATAGTAATTCCACCATTGGAAACTCACACCTTTGAGGTAAGCATTGCTCTCTCTTCTGCAGTTTCTGTAAAGAAATGCAAGAGCTGGCACACAAAGCAGAAAAGCACACTTCAAGCACTTTCTTTCAACAGAGGCCTTGGGAAAAGGGGGTGCCACGAGAAATAGAAGGAAGAGGCGAAAGGACAGGACTCAGCCGGGGTAGACGCTTCTCCCTCACTTGTGGGCTCCAGGGTTCTGAGGCTTCACATGAGCCTAAGAGCGGGAGAGGAGGTGGCCCAAGCCTGCAGAAGGACATGATTCCTGTGGCGTGTGGCTGTACATCAGTTTCCTCCACATCAGCCTCTTATCTCCTGTGGGCGGAAAGGCGAGGCTGATGGGAAGGCCAGATTACACCCCAGACTGGGCCTGCTTCTCATCGCTGGCAAACCACTTCCTTGGACTCCCTTGAGCTCGGCACATCTGGCAACCCGGTGGACTTTCTCTTGAGGACCGGGGAAAACACAAACCCAGACTTGTGTGAGTGTATATGATCCGTAAATACTCCCAAGGTGCTGATGGAAGTTCCAACTTGTTATGTGTCCCCAGACAAGCTTGTTCCCTCCCTGGGCCTCAGTTTCCTGAACTGCAAAATTGTGGCAGGGAGATAAGACTAACTGATGTCTAAGAACTCTTCCTGTCTTGAAATTAAAACAACAATAATAGGGGCATTGTTTTCACCCCCAAGGGTGATAACCAGGGAATGCACAGAGAAATGTTTGTGGATATTCTTGCATACTGAAACCCAGTTTCTGCAGAGTCAAATACCTACATATTCAG